TTTCCCCTGCCTCTGTGATTATGCAGCTTACAGTTTACACTGCTCTTAGGTTTCTATTCTTTGACATTGTTATAGATATGTGTATCTTTGTCTTAGTCAGTAGACTGTAAAATAGTGTCTCATCCTTTTTTACACATCCTCAAATCCAAGTAAATTAGTTACTTACAGTAAAAATTTAATAATATTTGTGAATTTATTTAGAAATAAATTAGAGAAATCAAATAAGTAGTACAAGATGAAAATTGCCAAATAATTTTAAGGCAAAAATTTCCATTAAATGGAATTTTATAAACAGGAATTTGCTCATTTTTAACTCTCATTCAATCTAGGCAGTTATTTTGTTTTCTGACTGTTGGCTTTTTCTTCCTCAGAAAACACGAAGTGAGTGGGGCTGGCTGTGATCTTCTGACTGCTGAGAAAAGTTGGTCTGAAGTCGTCTTTACTGATGGTTACAGTCCACTAGGGGGTACATTAGGTTTTACTAGAAATAAAGACTTTTTCTGATGGCCCCAGAGGGTTGAACAGTTAGGAGAGGAGTCGAGAGCATGTGAGCCAGTGAAATCACAGATAACAAGGGGGGCGGAGGATGAGGGGGGGTGAAGGGTATGTTTGTGTAAAGCCCACTTCAGGTTTTCGACTCTGCCATTGTATATAAAACCTCAGAAAAGCGGAGCCCATATCTCTACAAATCCATTGTGAGGATGATGTTCTGAACAGAGGTAAGGATCTGCAATTTTACTGAGCATTGTAAGCTTGGAAGTTCAGTGGAAAACATCTCCATAACCTTTTTGCTGTTTTAAAAAAAAATTATGGCTAAAATATTCCCCAAATTCACTGACCTAGAAATTATTCCAATACCCCTGATATCTGATCTTATCATATATCTTCTCTGAGACTAGAAGGAACAAACACAAACAGAAGAGGTAAATATAAGGAACAAAAATAGAAGAAGAAAGGGGAGGGGACAATATTTAATTTCACAGACAATGAGTGGCCTAATCAGAATCAGCTATGGGCTTAGAAAAGGGGCTGGAGAGAAGAATGGAAGAGTTAGAAATTAAATCAGAATGGACATTATACACATATCATATTTTTCTTTTAAGCAACCAAGCTCTTATTAACAACATTTTCTATACAGATGATGATCATATGATATGGGTTTCTAGAACCCTCCTAATTTCAAGAAATTGCATTTACTTCTTAATACATGATGCATGCCATCAAATAGTTTTCCTTTATCAGAATTTTCATATAACTAGTATCAAATTCTCTGTCAAACCATGCCATTTAGCAAATGGGGTCACTCATCTCGTAATTCTTCAAGGTTCCATTTAAGCCAGTTGAGACTCTGATACTTCTCACAAGGATCGTCCCCTTTCTCACACACCATCCTACAAACTTCTGTTACATAAATTGCTTCAAAAAAAAAAAGCAGCTTATGTCTTAATATAAACTTATTGCCTCCTACCCCCTGCACTATTTGCACCCACAGTTTTGGAGAGATTACTGTGCAGTTTCACTGGACCACTGTGGGTGGAGTTTCCTGTTAAGATGAACACAGAGCTCAGGTGTGGTTGGTGCTCAGTGAGCCTGGTGGAACCTACTGACTGTAAGAAAAGGTTGTCTGACCCAAGATTTACCCTCCAGAGCAGGGGTGAAGTCACACCTCAGTAACATGCAGGGAACCATGGAGAGGAGAATGGGAGCTCTGCTGGGGTTTCTGTGTGTTCAAGTTTGCTGTGAGTTGTGGCCATCTCAGATAGGGGCAGTGGGGTATTTCACAGGGAGGGAAGCAAGGGAGAGTGACACAAAGCTCCCGGCATGTTCTACATCTGCATGATTTTGGGATATTTTACAGGTTTGGAAACTGCATCAATAATTACCCTGCAACATCATATATGTTTTCTTTTCTCTTTCCATGCAGGGGTGAGAGGGGTGCAGGTGGAGCAGAGTCCTTCAGCCCTGACTCTCCAGGAGGGAACCAGCCCTACTCTGAGGTGCAATTTTTCTACCACTGTGACCAGTGTGCAGTGGTTCCAACAAAATCCTGGGGGCGGCCTCATCACTCTGTTTTACATGGCTTTAGGGACAAAGCAGAATGGAAGGTTAAAGTCAACAGTGAATTTTAAGGAACGCTATAGTACTTTACACATCTCAGCTTCCTTGCTGGAAGACTCAGGCAACTATCTCTGTGCAGTGGAGGCACAGTGTCCCCAGCTAACCTGAAGCCTGGACCCAAACTGCAGCTGGCACTGCAGCCCCACCTCTTCCATGGAGGAGGAACATTGCCTCTCAGTAGCATTTGCATGGCTTTGGGTTTTCTGATTCACATTGTAGCACTTTTATCTCTGCTAAAATTAGACATTTTAGGATTGTCATTTCACCTTTTTTGTACGTTTTTTCTCTCAGAAATCTTTTTTCAGGAAAAAACTCTAATATGAAATCACTGAAGCAACTGATAAAGATGTCAAGACCCAATGTACTATTACAACAGACCCTCTTGCAGAGAGCATATAAATTATATGCAAATTACCATGATGAAAAAGGCTTGCAAAAATATATGCTGGCCAACAAATAGAAAACAGATGACTCAATGTCTTAGTTAATTTCAAATGGTTCAATTTTCCAGGGAAATGAAAAGAGAGCACGTGTAATTTTTTTAAATGTTTGTATCTATATTTTTCACTCCTGGAACCCATAACAAATACCATTTGAAAATACTTAATGTTATTGAGTGTCAGGCAGTCTGTCTAGCTCATCACATATATTATATGGGTCCCAACAATACCTTGTAAATAGGTACTTTCTCCTTACTTTGCACATAAATAAACTGAGGATTATGGAGCATAAGTGTCTTCCCTGAGCTCACATTATTATTACGTTAGTGAAGCTGGGGTGAAATTCCCAGTCAGGAAATCTGACATCAGAAATTATATTCTGAGCTACCCAATGTAGAATACTCTGCAGAATCACAAAATGCAAATGACTTATTCATAAAGTTGAATAATGTGTTTACATACATGATTGACAAAAATATCTGTTTTGGCCGTTTCTAAATAGTACCTTTTAAGGAAAAGCTCATTGAGCTTTTTATTTGATTATATTAAAATCAATTGGTCTTCCTTGTATTTTGAATGAATTTAACACCCATGATTCTGTAATATCATTCAAGTTATGGGAAAGGGAGCAGAAAAGTTGTAGGACTACCCTAAAAGAAACCCTTACCTGCAGTGGCTACACACCATGACTTCTGATAACCAAACTCAAAGTTTAAACCTGCATATGGATCAATTACGGCACGTGTAGAAATCCAGCCTTGTGTGGTCTTTCATGTAAACGTAAGGACATTGACAAGGAAGGAGTGGGACTCTGAAGATGAAGATGAAGACACATGGGCAGATTCCAATAAAGCTGGGAGCAAGGCCAGTTTACTTGGCATGTGACCTCTGCAGTCCCACAGGGCCCGCCTCTCAGAAAGGATCTGGTGCTTGTTTCAATGCTCTGTTATTGCTGTCATGAAATTCTTAATAATTTCATCTATGTACTTATGTTTTGTAAGTGGAGTCCAGAAAGAGGATGGAGATGTGAGTGAGCAGAGGAGATATTTGGGGCAGCAGGGTACAAGATGGAAACACATGCAGGCTCACACATACAAATATAAAGAAAAGGTCTCTAGAAAAGAGCGTCCTGCCTAGCCACAGCTTAGCCTAGAGTCTACTCCCATATCACTACCTGTGATGAACTTTACACTTAGTAAAGTCTTATTTTATTCCATTTTATTTCAAATATAGGCTCTTCTTGGTACATTATTGAATACTGATGATATAGGAGGGATGAAAGTCCAGATAGGAACTCATCCTCAGGACCCTGTCTCTGCTTCTGAAGAGGCCCAGGGATTGTTTAGGGGTAACTTCAGACCCACTAGAGTGCACATGGATATGAAAATGCTCTTGGAGCTCCATGAACTAGGATAATTTCTTCCTTCTCCCATACCACTCTATGCTGCATACAACCAGTCCTCAACAAATATTTGATCTGTTAAATAATATAAAAAATTTAGAGCTAGTAGAGTCCTTAGAAATCATTTGGTCCGAATTCATTTTACAAAGACAGAAACTACGTCCAAGATGCCAGTATGAAACAATTAGATAGTAAATGAGCCAAGAGTAGGAATAAACTCGATGTACATGATTGACAAAAATATCTGTTTTGGCCATTTCTAAATAGTACCTTTTAAGGAAAAGCTCATTGGGCTTTTTATTTGATTACATTAAAATCAATTGGTCTTCCTTGCATTTTGAATGAATTTAATGCCCATGATTCTGTAATATCATTCAAGGTATGGGAAAGGGAGCAGAAAGGTTGTAGGACTACCCTAAAAGGAACCATTACCTGCAGTGGCTACACACCATGACTTCTGATAACCAAACTCAAAGTTTAAACCTGCATATGGATCAATTACAGCACGTGTAGAAATCCAGCCTTGTGTGGTCTTTCATGTAAGTGTAAGGACATTGACAAGGAAGGAGTGGGACTCTGAAGATTAAGATGAAGACACATGGGCAGATTCCAACAAAGCTGGGAGCAAGGCCAGTTTACTTGGCATGTGACCTCTGCAGTCCCACAGGGCCCACCTCTCAGAAAGGATCTGGTGCTTGTTTCAATGCTCTGTTATTGCTGTCATGAAATTCTTAATAATTTCATCTATGTACTTACGTTTTGTAAGTGGAGTCCAGAAAGAGGATGGAGATGTGAGTGAGCAGAGGAGATATTTGGGGCAGCAGGGTACAGGATGGAAACACATGCAGGCTCACACATACAAATATAAAGAAAAGGTCTCTAGAAAAGAGCATCCTGCCTAGCCACAGCTTAGCCTAGAGTCTACTCCCGTATCACTACCTGTGATGAACTTTACACTTAGTAAAGTCTTATTTTATTCTATTTTATTTCAAATATAGGCTCTTCTTGGTCCATTATCAAATACTGATGATATAGGAGGGATGAAAGTCCAGATAGGAACTCATCCTCAGGACCCTGTCTCTGCTTCTGAAGAGGCCCAGGGATTGTTTAGGGGTAACTTCAGACCCACTAGAGTGCACATGGATATGAAAATGCTCTTGGAGCTCCATGAACTAGGATAATTTCTTCCTTCTCCCATACAACTCTATGCTGCATACAACCAGTCCTCAACAAATATTTGATCTGTTAAATAATATAAAAAATTTAGAGCTAATAGAGTCCTTAGAAATCATTTGGTCCCACTTCATTTTACAAAGACAGAAACTACATCCAAGATGCCAGTATGAAACAATTAGATAGTAAATGAGCCAAGAGTAGGAATAAACTCGATTTCCTCACTTCCTTTCAGCATCCTTTCCTCTGCCTCATTCCTGCAGGGCCATATTACTGCAGAAAGAAACTGTCTAACAGAAGCCCAGACACTTTGGGCTCTGTGGTTTGGGTTTTGGAAAACATAGGTCCAATCAGTTTGACCACTAGAATGGAGAGTCCCAATTTGTGTAAATGTTTGCCACTTTGGTCAGAAAAGGAGATTAAGGCTCAGCTACCGTTAATCTATCTGCAAATCAATTCATCATTCACTGGCCTCTGAAGGAGTGAGCCCAAAGTAATGCCACCCTCAATACCCAGATATATTTCTAAGGACTTTTCTAAAAATATCTAAGTGTATTTATTGTCCCATGTGGACATCCCTTGAAGGAAGGCTGTGAACATAATATTACTCATACATTGTCAGCAAAAATGATTATTGGAGCTAGGACACTAAGGAGAGAATTGTTTTCATGCAGATAGAAGTCCATAAAAGGTGCTAGAAAAAGCTTTTCCAGGCCAACGCTTTGACAATGAGTCAGGCAATATTCAATGAAATAATCATGAGACTGAGAATTTTGTCCAGAGTATGGCTATACCTGTGTTATGGTTACTATGTGAAACACTGTGCTCCATGTAAATGGTCGTATTCAGACCATTGCCTTCAATTCTGGATGCCATAACTCAATAGGGTCATTGGCTTAAAATATCTGCCTCTAAGAAAAAGGAAATTTGCCTAGATAGTATGACCTGACAACCCTTCTCCTTTCTCTGACTTTTTCTCTCTGCATAGGGGTGATCTGAGGAGAGAATGTGGAGCAGAATTCTATCTTATGGGATATGGATGAGAGAACGGAAGATCCTTAGAACGGAGAACTTTATATATATATATATAAAACACAGTTGAGATTCTTTGTCATAGCTGTCCTTAAAACTTTAAGGGTGTAAGATATGGATAAGGGATTAGATTTATCCCTACAATTTCAGGAGATTAGTGAGTACAAATCATAGGAAAGGAGCTTTCATTCTGGAAATGAGGCAGTCTTGGTTTCTCAGGGACCATTTCTCATGGTCATTTCTTTAGGGTCAGTTTCCTATTTGTACTGTCTCCCTAGCTGATGCAGGCAATATTTAGACTTTCCTATATTTATTTTTACAGAGACAATCAGAAAATACTCAGAAATTAAAGTATATAAGAAAGGGTTTTTGGCAGAGGGAGATAATCCTGGCCACTTACAGGACTGAAGGACTTTGTCAATGTCTTAGGGAAAGAACAAGGGAGCAGAAAGGTTGTAGGACTACCCTAAAAGGAACCATTACCTGCAGTGGCTACACACCATGACTTCTGATAACCAAACTCAAAGTTTAAACCTGCATATGGATCAATTACAGCACGTGTAGAAATCCAGCCTTGTGTGGTCTTTCAGTATTCAGACCATTGCCTTCAATTCTGGATGCCATAACTCAATAGGGTCATTGGCTTAAAATATCTGCCTCTAAGAAAAAGGAAATTTGCCTAGATAGTATGACCTGACAACCCTTCTCCTTTCTCTGACTTTTTCTCTCTGCATAGGGGTGATCTGAGGAGAGAATGTGGAGCAGAATTCTATCTTATGGGATATGGATGAGAGAACGGAAGATCCTTAGAACGGAGAACTTTATATATATATATATAAAACACAGTTGAGATTCTTTGTCATAGCTGTCCTTAAAACTTTAAGGGTGTAAGATATGGATAAGGGATTAGATTTATCCCTACAATTTCAGGAGATTAGTGAGTACAAATCATAGGAAAGGAGCTTTCATTCTGGAAATGAGGCAGTCTTGGTTTCTCAGAGACCATTTCTCATGGTCATTTCTTTAGGGTCAGTTTCCTATTTGTACTGTCTCCCTAGCTGATGCAGGCAATATTTAGACTTTCCTATATTTATTTTTACAGAGACAATCAGAAAATACTCAGAAATTAAAGTATATAAGAAAGGGTTTTTGGCAGAGGGAGATAATCCTGGCCACTTACAGGACTGAAGGACTTTGTCAATGTCTTAGGGAAAGAACATTGTAGTGGAGTTTGGGGAAAAAATGATAAGAGTATGGGATCTGAGCCAGCAATAGTCAAGCCAGCAGGAGTTCATGCCAGGAGAATTGGCTCTTACTTTGGAGGAAATTCCACTAAGGGTATGACTCAATCATTGCATTTAAGGGCATGCCATCCATTTTGATATCAGAAAATAAAAGCACCTCAGGAATAAGCTTACATGTGTTTCCATTTTCCAAATCCACAGTCCAATGTTTTCTGAGGGTTTTTCTTCCTTCTTTCAGCATTTTGAAGAGTAATATAAACCAAATAATGATAGGAAGAGATTTCTTATAGCCCGTCAGATTTCTCATTGCAAATCCACCTGAACTATGGGTTAAATTGTTTCCTATACTTGGAATATTAATAACTCATGAAACTTATCCCATTTCTCCCTTATCATTGAGATTTGATCCTTTGCTTTCTATCAATGTCATCTTTAAAGGAGGAAGGTTGCACATTTTGGCTGTTGCTACTGTCAATTCTATGGGAATAGCAAGGTCATGGGCAAGACCAGGCTTGGAAGAGCAGAGACTGAGATAATATGCACTGAAGATATTGAAGATATTGAATGGTCCTCTCTCTCTTACTTTGATCTTTGACTTACATGTTCCTTTTAGAAAGTTTTTCTCCATAGCAGACAAATCATGATGGTAGATTTGGCTGAAAAGG